CTTTTTCAAAAGGTCAGACAATGGCTTAGTATGCTCCGCATAATTCTTGCTGTACATATGCAAGTAATTAGCGATCCCAAGGAATTGGCGCAGATCCTTCACATGACGTAGCAATTGTTATTCATGGAGCTCGCTATTAATAATAGTGTTCACGCCAGTACGGGTGAAACACCGTTTTACATTAACGGACTGCGTCATCCTCGAACGCCAGTCTCGTTTGTACGCAGCCCGAGTCTTAGTGGGGGAGGGCCCCTCACTTCGCTCGGTGCGAATCCCGAAAAGGGCCAAGGTTGCCTTAGTGACAGTGCTAATTTAGCAGTGGTCACGATTGTCACAGAGGAGGCACGGCAAAAAATGCCAGTGCTCCTTGACGATGACATTATCGTGTTATCAACAGCGTTGACCCATGAACGACCTCTTGGAGGCGTCATAGGCGAGCTGGATAATAAAAGCGTGAGCGACGATAAGCGCTTCGTGTATGAGCGATTAGCCATCACACGTAAAGTCCGTGACGCGATGGCAAGCGCACAGGATAAGCAAAAACAATATGCAGACCAGCATGGTCGCAAAAACAATGAACACTTTAGTGTGGGGGACAAAGTGCTATTAAGTACTGCTACCCTACCTAAACATGCAATTTCTGTACTACCTGGTGGTACTACTAAGCTATTGCGCCGATTCAGTGGGCCCTTTACAGTGGTTGAAGAAGTTGGAGACCTAAATTATAGGCTCACTCTCCCACCGTATATGAAGACGCACCCCGTATTTTACGTGGGTCGTCTGAAACGGTATGTTGATCCAGAAGAGATCACATATCCACATCGGTCTAACGAGACCGATGGTGACGTCGACTGTGAGTCGAGTGTCGCGACCGATCAGGCGACGAGGAAGCCCGTATACGAACGAGGCGTTAGAGGACTCGGTGATCTAGGAGGACTCCGCGCTTGACGCGGGTCTCTCATCACCAGTCGCTCTAAGATGTCCAAACGGGTCTTCAAGCGGTCATACCCCTGACGGTCTCTCGTCCTCACATCGCGCAAATCCACAGTCAGTAGCGAGACTTGACTCTCGAGATCTGCCATCTACCTCTCCAGCGCAGCGGACTCAGCCTGAGAATGAACAGCAGCAGCGTAGGAAGCCGCGAGTAGGGGGGCGTAATCGCCACTCCTATCGGGAGCCACCTGTGTTGGTGGACACGGAAGGGAATACGTGCTTCCTTTTTGGAAGGCTTTTGGCCCGCCGGTTTGTGAAGCGAAAGCTCCAAATCCTGGTCCATTGGAAGGGTTACCCAACGAGCTTTTACTCATGGGACCATGTTGAAGCCTTGAGCGTCGACGTGCCTGGACTGGTGGCTGCTTATGTGAAGCAGCACCAGCTGTCGCCTTTCTGCTAGGTCCGAACGGACTAGTAGAAGAAGCGTGGTGAGAATCGATTGGGGGTCGCTTACCGCCCAAGATATCATTCGCACGCGTCATGGCGAAGATGATTCTCTGCGACCGCTGTTTCGTTGCATCTACATGCAAGGTAACACGGCGCCGAAGTTCAGCTTCATATTCGTCGGCTGTTTCGTTAGAACGCAGCACGATTGGAATTGGAAAAGCACGACCAAGTGCTTTGCCCTGCTTTTTCCACAAGGGAAAGACGCTATAAAACTTATTAGCGTCAATAGTTGCACGCTGCAAAAGCGCTGCACTAGACCCATCCGAGTTCATCCACTCAGATGGAGGTGGCATTGGTGGCAAGCCACCACTCACGTAGCCGCCCTCGCGACGGCGGGCTAGTGAGGCCGACGGTGTACTTGGTGGAGCTTTAAGCTCACACTCACCTGAGTCTGACTCTCCATTATGGATTGTCAAGACATCAGCATGAGGAGTCACATATGACTGAGTCGCGACTACTCCTTTCGAAGTAGCGTGCTCAGTCTTAGTCGCTGCGCTCGTAGGCGCAGGCGACGAGGCTTTACCTTCGCTTGCAGGAAGCATAGAAGCTTCCCTCAAGTACGGGTTCCTCAAATGATGGGGAATTATGTCCCATCAATGCGCTTTGCTCATCTCCACTTTGGAGTGATGGCAATGGCGTACTCTCATTGTAGTCTCCAATGAGAGATGGATCTTCATCCACATTATAGGGAGATGGAAGATTCACCTCAGTGCCTGAAGCACTTTGCGACGGCTGCGATAAATCGCGGCGCGTGCGCTTAGTGTTGGACTGCATGGGCGCTTTTGCAGACGACCCATCAGCCTTACCACGTTTCGGTGGCATGAGAATTGAGTAGACCAAGCGGCGCGTTTGTAACGGCTCGCAGTCTCTCTGTCTCCTTGGCGATGTTTTACAAATTAAAATCGTTCTAACACGGAAGATGGTGTAACAGGGCATCTATTTTCACGCAAACATTAAGTAATATACTTAATGTTTGGTCTAAAAGTATTAATGATTACTTTTGACCTGTCACTTGGGTGCGATACAAAAATGTGATCCACCCTCGTGAATGTGATACCCATTGATGGATTCACATGAGAAGGGATGACGCTAGTTGAAGCTAGGCATCGCGACGTCTCAGAAGGACGTCATTCGCAAGATTAAGTCTATATTTAAGTTCATGCGTCAGGATACGCTTCTAAAGAGTCGCGTATCCGATCTATATATATATATATAGCCAATCCGTAGTTAAGTTTATATTTAATTATAATTCATTAAATATAAATCAGTCTTGAATTTACTACATACTGCCTACTGCGCACGAGAAGCTGAGAAAGATTCTGCGTGACGTAAGTAGAACACTTGTTAGTTGTTCGTTGCACTCTCACTTAAGCGAGAGGCAACTGGTGGTACGACTGAATCGACCAACCTCCTCACCACCCTCGCACGCGAAGGTAAGACGGTCTAACTGCTTCCTCGCTTATGCTGAAGGTGTGTGCTAAGTACCACGAGGCAACTTCGTAGAAGTGCCCGTTTACATATTGTGCAAAGCTGATTTTTCTTGTGTGTCGTAACGAACTTGCTTAACCTACATTTAGCTACACGCCAGAATGAAAAGATCAACGCATAGTTTTTTTCTAGGTGTTACTGTAGCTGTACTGCGGGCTTTTAGAGAAGGAGGAAATGCTCACATCGCTGTGTGAAATCGTGCGACAAGTTGCCTTTCCACAAGAGATAAAAAAAATTTGTATGATGTTAAAATTTAACGATGCGAGTGTGCGCTGAGAAAGCCGAGTGCAGATGAAAGCACGTAAGCCAGAATCTTCGCTCTCGGGTTAAGCAATTAGAGCACTGCAAGCTATCCCTGACGTAGCAAATTGATGCGCTTGAGGAAGGAAAATGCAACTTGAAAATACACATTTGGCCGATCTATCCTCAAGCAAGAGAACCCCTTCCACCTTGGCCGATTACCCGGATTAACAAGTACTGAATCACACATAACTCACAAACGTCCGTATAAGCTTAAAGCGTTGCCCTCCTCTTCTATCAAATCATGTATGTGTTCATCTCGTTTTTCTATCGCCAGAAGAGCTGAGTATTACCATTTTGTGGTGCAGCATGCACGTATTTCTCAATTTTTAGTTTTGGCAAGGATAGGTTCAGCACCTATTATAACGCGGCAGCACAAAAGCCAGCTCCAGTGAACCAATACATATTAAATCATGTAGGATGTGTTGTGGACTATAACTTGCATCGTGTTGATTTTATACCACATACACATTACGGTCAAGTATTAGTCAGCCTATCCTCAGCCCTCATCACGGGAAATTCTGTCTCATAGGAGCCGAAGTGGATGGGGACAATGTCTCACCATGCTTCTCCCGCAACCACCCGGTATGTGACCGACAGACTGAGGGACAATACTACGGGCTGGCGCGTGGACGCACCACGAGAACACCGCTTTACAAGTCAGTTTGACGGACCGCTTATTGCAAGCGGTCATTCTAGTTAGTCCTTGCAACGAAAATGTTTCTGGATGCCATTTTCAACCAGCAGCCGGTTGGCATAGCCACCGTAGCCGACAGGATACATCGCGAGGGGTACTGGACTATTTAGAAGTCTTGTTAATTAATAGACACCACAATATTCCCTATTTAGAGATCAGGAAATCTACTTATGATTAGAAAAAAGCGAAACCTATACAATGCCTAGAGCAAAGTACGCGGACATATAAACTGTTACACAACCGCACATTACTTGATTTTTCAAAAAGTTTTGGAAGTTTCATGCCAACAGTTACCGCATGTCACCAACCAGCAAAACTCGTGATGTACCAAGTATTAATAATTAGATTTTGATAAGAGATGTTCAGCACTGAAGCATGTGTACATATCAAAGAATATGTCGTGATTAACCAGCAGCCTGATACTTGTACGTGCGCGCCATTTCTTTCAGCACGTTTACGACGTTGTCGTTTTGTGCATCGCGACGTCACCATATTACTTGCCGTTTACGAAAGGCTGATTTAATTTCGACTCCTTTCACCAGGGATGTGCAATCATTTTTGTGAGCTAGCAAGTGCCTGCATCAGCAATTTCTATAATACAAATTACCATAATATGCACATTCGAACATTTCGCACATCTATAGAAGCTCATCAGAGCCACAGACTAAAAAATATGTTCATTTAACACATGTGTGCGGAATTTTAGTAGGCGTAACGAATAAATAGCCTTTCAGCCAATCGTTATCGTTCATATAAGCAGACTTACATAAACAATGCGAAAACTGGCTCGCAACCTTATACAACAGCCAATAAAAACGCTCGATAATCGAGCCAGGTACGACGCACGACCGGTATAGACAAAGGAAGGCTCAGTGCACACAAACTGCAGTCAGTCGCAGCCCACGACTATTATCGGCAGCTGTCCCTCTTTATTACGAAGCGCTTGGCTTCTGCATTGTCGTGGTTTAAACCAGAGACAAATAGACACAAAGAGTGACGAGTTAAGCAAAGAAACGAAAACTGGACGTCGATACTACAGATCGGCACTAGCGCAGGCAATAGATTGTTTAAAGTGATGCAATCATCTTTGTGGTTTCTCGTTGTATTTGTGGCATTTACTGGTACGTGTTTGCAATTGTGGAAGATTCTTGTACTATTGTGATTCAATTGACATTTTAATTCTTGTATTATTACTATGAACAGGTACACAAAGTAGTGATGCAGCCAAATCGGTCTTTGCAGCTAGCACGTCACAATGTTCATCCGTAGCCACTTGTTATGCAGGAGGCGCATCTTCAACACCATGTACAATCTCCGATGGTGGTTGTCCTCCATGTGTCACATTTTCAGATGACGGGTGTTACGTCAAAGTGAATGGGGCGTGTCCATTTGGTAGCGACTGCACATCCGTTTGGGCCGGAGCTCCTACGCCCACTTCTGATAACAGTATTACGCCATCCACTCCCACCACTAACTCTGATGATTCTACGACGAGCACCAGTACGACGACACCAAGCATTAGTACGACGACACCCAGCATTACACCCTCATTACCGTCAACTCCAGCAGAATTGTCTCCTACGGCGTCGTTAAACACGAAGGACACAGCCGACATGACCCCTAGTTCCACATCGCCCAGCACTTCAAACAGCGGCGACTTAGCAGTTGAAAAACCGAGCACTAGCCGCTCAGACATGAGCGTTGTGTTTGCCATTATCGGTGCTGCAATCGGTGTTATTGCTGTCGCTGTGATCTTTCTGACGCTCGTGCGACGATCCAATGCTGCGCATGACGAGGATGAGGATGTTATATCTAATACACCGCCTGCTTTCTCTAAGGGACCGATGGCGCACACATCTCACAACACTACAGGCGCTGCCACGTACTCGAGCTACAACGGAACACCCGGCTTGAGCTCTGGCACGGGTGATGAGGTTGGAATGGAGGCGTCCAAGGGCGTTTCCATGAATGCCGTAAGCTACTACAATCAGCAACCCATGCACAATTCTGCAGCACCCTCGCCTCATGTTGCAGGACGGGCCATCCCGTCACAACCGGTGGGGATGAACGCAAGCTCCAGTATGGCCCGACCTTATGGCGGAAGTCAGAACTTTGGCGTTTCTGGTGTCGGTGTCACTAGTGGATTCGGCACCTCAGGTTTTGGACAGGCTGGCGTTGGGGTTAATAATCAGGCACCACCGACACCGATGCAGCACCTCTCGACGGGTGGCGTGGCACCTTCGCCGCACTCGCGGAGAGAATCGTACGAGTTCTAGCTGAACGCGGTTAGGAACACTAGAGAGTTGAGAGCTCATGTACAGACACACAGTGGATGGAGCAGGGTGATGGCACTTCTTTGGCCTGGAAGAGCGTGGCTTATTCAATATGGATAGATTGTGAAGAAATGTGCATTCCGAGTGAATATTACTCAGCTTTATCGTTTGCCAGACGTGCAGATGTAGCGTTGAGGTTGCTGTCGTAAAAGGTCGCTTTCATATAACGCATGTACTGCATTTGTGTACCTGGTTAATAATGCAAGAATTTTGTAGCCACATTGCAGTTCTTCAAGGTCTTGGTCACTTCTCGTACACTACAGAAAAAAAACCATTGGTGATTTGAATTACGTCGTTCCATCGGCATGTAATTTAAATGGTATGATATTGCCTATGCGAGATAAAAGGCAGACCGAAACAAGTGCATTTTTGCCAACAATGAGAATTGAAACGTTGGTAGCAACAAATTACCTTGTGGCATCTTCTTATAGTGAAAAAAAACGATTAGCATCAGTAATAGCTACGAGTTGGAATATCCATATTTGCGGCAAGCAAATGCTGAAATGCTGAAATCCGTGCTTTCTCCACATCCAGAGCGTCAAGACGTCAATATACTTGTCATTCATTAGGAATTGTATACTTTGGTCAAAATGAACAAAGCTGCAAAGCTACTAAGGAAGACAACTGCAATGAAATGCGCAGCATGTATAAGTGCGAAGCGCTTGCATCACATCGCAAAAGTTCTGCTCTCGTCATCGCAATATACATTATAGCCATCACTGCAAGTCGAGATCGTGTGAAAGCCGATCGTCATAAGATATGCTCGGCAAACACCACCAAAGGAGTCCACGGCGCATAGATCTTCACTTATAAACACCATTTTTTCAATATAGTGCCACGTCAACTTTTAACTTGATCTCACCGGTCCGGTGGCAAGCAAATATTCCCTTATATAAATCTCAACATTCACGACATATGCCATCATTGAAACGATGTACGATAGCAGTGCTAACTAAATAGCAATATTTCTTCTTCGATAAATGCCAACCACAATAATATGGACAGTGTGTTTTAACGTCAGCTCCCGCTTATTGCATCTTTACTTGCCATTTCCTTCCATACAATCTTCACGCAACACTTGCATAAAATATTTCTTGAATTTTCTGCTAAAATTCATGTCCGCCTTTGTGCACTTTATATCTTCATTAAGCCGAGCAAACAGAATAACTGCACAAATTGAGACATCATGATAACATGTGCTCGAACGACGACTTTGTAATTATGACGTGGTAATTTGGCCAGCAATCTAATATTTGTTTGAAGAGCTGCAGCGCGGTCGTTCAATCAACTTCACACATGCACGATACATGTGTAGCTATCGTTGGCATGTTTATTGCTCAAATGGATTCGAAAAAGCCTGAGTTGCACTGCATCCGACCAATGTTTTCTTCGCCAATTTCTTTGTGCCAAATTTCATTCCAAAGCCACTTTTTGTAATAATTAGAGAATTCTCACTGTTCTTTTTCACAGCAGTGATAGACTTTATCTTGTTCGTTGGTTGGTGCGTAACTTGCTTTTGTGCAGCTATTCTTCGCTGCAGCATTAAACGTTCCATTTCGTGCTCTTTTTCACGCATGACACTTTGTTTTTCCTGTGTTCCCACCCGTCGTTTTTGATATTGTAATTCTTTCAATCTCTTCGTATGATGATGATCATATGAACTCAAATGATTCTCCATCTCCGTTACCGACTTGTACTGTTTCCGACAATCACAGCAGTAAAAAGCTGCTTGCATAATTTTCACTTCCTCTTTCAATTGCTCCTTCTTTGCACCTTTAGCTTCCCGACAAGCAATTTCTTCTATTGTCTCTTGCACTTCTGCATCCATTTTACGACGTACACTTGTTGTCAAGTGCGTCACTTTGTCGTACTCCTCCTGCAAAAATAATGAAAATATTAATTTGTCAATGTGTCAATAAATTGGCCTTATCACAAACGAAATAGAGTCTTTAAAGTATTTACCGCTTTGCCGAGACCAAGATGGACGAGGTTTTCCTTCATTTTAATAGGTTCTACGATACCTGCATGAAAAAATAGATTTTTTTAAAGAGTTCGTAATTAAAATGCTAGTATATACAAACTATGTAGCAACTGACCTTGCTCGTGTTTACCCAAGCCAAAGCCAGAACGCCAGCCCATCTGACGTAACAAGCGATAACCGCGGTTTGATTCGTCCAATGCACGCTCTGTCCCAGGGACGTAAGGTTCATTCTCGTTATTTTTCATTTTTAACTAAAAAAGTTTTGATAAGAATATGGTGCGTTATTTTTTGACTGGATCGATAATATTATATATTTTAGGGAGAGAACATAATCGCGATGTAAAATAAATACCTCTTTCGACGGTTTATCATATAGTCAACAGTAGGTTTCGTGTCTACATACTATACTTGATATACTAAGCTTCCTATTATTAATAACATTCGCGAAGTTAATGAGCGTTTTGTAAATCGTACCCATGATTTATTCAATCAAGACCCGCACACACAATCAAAAGCATTAAAAACTTAAATGGTTGACAGGCTAATAAAGACACTTTTAAAATGTTGCCATTTGATCTTCAAGATATCCGCTTATAAGGAACTTTCGATGGAAGCTTAAATTAAGGGTGACACTTAAAAACGAATAGCAGGCAAGTGTTCTTGAATATACAGCAGCGTGAACGTAGATTACGCTGCGGGCTACGGGGACCGTAAATCTGTAAGGAGAGGAATGATATTCTAGAATGGTATGTGTTTTCGAGTCGATAACAAGCGAGTGTGGCTGTATTTACCATGGTGGCCGAGTTTGTAGCAGCACTAATGGTGGCGAGCGACCTGCTAGGGCTGAATGTGTAAGAGTGGGGTGAAGTAGTGGTGCACTTGTGCACGTAGAGGTAAAAGTAAAAGTAAAATATATTAAGCATTAACTACTCTCCTTCGCTAGGGCTTTAACATGTACGATAGACTCAACTGCGACTATACCATGTCTAGTCTGTAGTCTTCGTCTATCCCGCTTCGCCACATCTGTTAAGATGACACAACATTAGCCAATTCGGATGCGGTCGCAACTTACCGAGCACAGGGTATATCCCTTGCCTTCAACACCTTGCAACCTGTCAAAAACGATCGTTTCTAACAGAATGAACTTGTAGCGGAGCTGCACAGCTCTTTAGCCAGAGGAAGACTTTCGGCTGGAAGCCTCTTAGTTCGAGAGAACTAAATAGAGTTAAGGCTAAAAGCCACTTAGTTCTAAGGAACTAATTAAACGACTGAAAGTAACCCTGTTCTAAGGAACTAGGAGAGAGACTTTAGTCAGTCAAGCAATAAGCTTAAGGTTCAGAGAACCAACGCACAGGGTGCAAGAACAAGCTAGAAGCTTAGAGGTTCAGAGAACCAACGCACGAAGTGCACAAGAGAACAAGTCAGAACGACTTGTGATCTTAAACTCAAAAGGAGAACTGATTTTATTTATGCTTTAAGATTTTATGAATAGTCCTACTCTAAGTACACTACACTAGATTAATTACTATAATAGTAATTATTATATGCAGACTTTGCTATTGGACGACGTATCGTCTAAACATCTGTGTATGATGTACTTAGTACAGCGTTATCGATTATCGAATCCTAATCGATAAGATACGGTATTACCGAATACCGTATCTTTAACGCTTATACTTAATACCTCTCTAAAGAGAAGTATCATAATGCATTACATGCAATACAAGGGGAGTTTAACCGTAAACTCCCGGAAAGACGCTACAACCGTCGTGTAACCCCGTTACACCCTCCCCCACCAGACTGACGTTCCCATAGAATGTCACTCGACATTTTTCCTCTTAGAGGTAGTGCTTTAGCGAACGTTTAAAACCTCACGGTTTGTTCACGGCACACAACATGACGCCTCCCGGCAGTGAGTCACAGACTCTTAGGGACCTTATTGAGGACGACCTTGAAGAAACGGTTGATTACGAAAGTGACACCGTCTTTGTGGGACCCGATGGGTCCCCTTTAGCCACCCTCACGGGTGAAGATGACACTCGTCATGCACCGAATCCGTTCCCTGAACGTGGTGCAGCAGATGCGCTAACAGCGTTACGTGACCCGCCTGAGGTATCATCAACGGTAATGGTTACCAACCCACTCGACGAGCAGCAACAGCGGTCCATCGACCAAGAGGAAGGCGCCAAGCGCCGAACGAAGAACATGACGCGGCTGAAGGATCACCGACAGTACAGGTTCAAGCCACCTACGGTGGAAGAACGCCTAAAGGAAGCATCTGGGCATTCCCTTTCTGGTTGGACCATTGGGCCTGAGGCCATTTCGCCTGAGGATGTTGCCACACGCACGGCACTTCGACAACGATATCTGGAGCCCCATATCACTACTCAAAGCCAATACTTGGCACGCCTTAATAGGCAAGTGCGCGGTGCGCCAGTTCCTCCGATGAAGGGTGTTCCCATCCTTCTGTTCGCGGGGGAAACCGAGAACGAAGAAGACACGGCTTTCAGCCGCTGGGCGCATTATGCGCGACGTTTAAGCAGCATGTGGGCCCTACGGGCAAGCGCCGATGTGGCAGATGTTCGACTTGAGCGGAAGATGCGTTATGATTACGCTAAATTGAAGGCCCGGGGAAAGTTGAAATCTCAACGAACGCATTATGCGCCTGCTACCCAGCAGCCCAATGTTTCGGCTACCCCTGTAGCCGCGAGTTCACGACAGCCCGAGGCCGCTAACCCGCCTACCCTCACCATTACTGGTGAGAAGCGTCAGCGCCAACAGGCAGACCCTGCGCACGACGCTCAAAAACGTCCACGGCGTATGGGCAGTCCTGCCGAAGGGGAGTCTCAAACTCCCATGAATTCCATGATTCGGGATAACCCCGCCATTTCACCAGATACTGGTTTTGACCATGGCGGCGACGCTTCTGCAGTAGACGTTCCACATGGAACTGCAGGTTCCCCTGAGCATCGAGCAAAGGAGGAGGAGGCCGATGTATCGGCACAAGCTCATGCCGAGCTTGTTCAGGAGGTACGGTCCCTTCGTGAGGAGAGGCAGACGATGAACTCCCGGCTTGCGTCCCTGGAAGAGAGTCGGACCCGAATGCAGGGTCAGCTTGACATGTTGGCGCAGATGCTTCGTCCCGCGACAATGCCAATGGGCTCGGCGCGAGCGCCTTAATGTTTACTTGGGACGGATCCCGATAAGGTTTCAACATGGCGACATAGAACACAGGATGTGTACGCAATTTGCGCGGCAAGTTAAGCGTATACGCTGTGCCTTTCTTGGCAATGACCTTAAAGGGTCCGATAAATCGTGGGCGCAACTTCGTCTTAAAGACAGCGGATACTACATTGGTAGGTAGATTTTTAGCATTTAATAATACTTGGTCTCCGACCTCATAATCATTAATACAACCTCTGCCTTTCGCATCTGCATATTCCTTTTGTTTATCTTGACTATCAGCCATTGCATCTTGCACATGTCGTAAGACATTCAGTCGCGTTGCGAGAAACGCATTTACCTGTTTCTTAACAGTATTAGGGCTGACATCAGCAAGCCGATCGGCAACCTCTCCCCCACCAAGCCCTGAACCACTCGGTGGTAGCGTTAACGGAACGCGTGGGTGTGTGAGACCATTGACATAGAACGGAGTGTAGCCGGTGGAGGCGTGCACGGAATTATTGAGTGCAAACTCAACTACAGGGAGCATAGAGCTCCAACGCTTAGGCGTTTCAGCACAAACGCTGCGTAGGATATCTTCAACAACGCGATTTACGCGTTCGGTTTGACCATCGGTCTGCGGATGATCCGCCGTGGACATGTCCAAACGGGTGCCCAGCACCTGGAAGACGGACTTCCAAAATTTACTCGTAAAACGAGGATCACGATCAGAAACAATTGCCACTGGCAAGCCATGTTGGCGAAACACCCGATCGATAAACAGCTCCGCTGTACCCACACCATCGATCGAATCTGGCACAGCCGCTAAGTGAGCCATCTTGCTCAAACGGTCAACAAAGACCACAATACCTGTATTGCCATGCGAATCTTTCGGTAGGCCAAATACAAAGTCCATACTAATGGACTCCCAGCACCCAGTGGGAATAGGCAAACTAGCCAGCGGCGCTGCCGAATGGGGCGAGGGTTTCACCCGCTGACACATTTCACACGTACGCACATATGTGCTCACCCATTTATATAGTTTGGGCCACCAATAACTTTGGCATACTGCCCCATAGGTCTTTTCACGACCCAAATGACCACCGATGGCGGTGTCATGTACCTCATAGAGGATACGATGTTTCAGGTCCTCGTCATGAGGAACCACAATACGCGGAGGATCCGCCACATCTGTACGATAGTACAACAGCCCCTCATCGATAGAATATCGATGGAGGCTTGCACGCAATCGTGCCGACAATTTAATGTCCGAGTCTTTAAACTCCTCACTGCCAAGAGCATGTAGCAACGCTATACAGTGATCATCTTTAGCATACGCCGTACGAATGAGATCGGTGATAGAAGACGACAACATCGTCACATGAGCAAGCTCATAATCAGGTCTGCGTGACAACGCATCAGCCAAAGCATTTTGCTTGCCCGGCTTATATTTCACCTCGAAGTTATATTCGGCAAAGAATGACAGCCATCTGGCCATTCTCTGCGAGAGATGCGGCGACTGAGTCGCAGTGCGTAACGACGCATGATCGGTATAGATCACAAAAGGCTTTGAGCCCAGCAGATGAACTCTGAATTTGACCAGGGCATACTTCATCGCAAGTAGCTCTTTGTCGTGAACTGGATAGTTCTTTTCTGCAGCTTTCAGCTGGCGGGATTCAAAAGCGATTACACGCTCACGGCCTTCATCATCTGATTGTAACAGAGCACTGCCAATGGCAAAATCCGATGCGTCACAGACGACGCTAAACGGTCGGTCAGGGTCTGGCAAAGCCAAAATAGGAGCATGTAGAAGGCTTGCCTTCACTGCTTGAAAAGCATTTTCGTGTTCGGCATGCCAACACCATTCCACATCCTTTTTAAGGAGATTGGATAACGGCCGAGCCATATCAGCGTAATTTTCGCTATACTTGTGTAAGTAATTGGCAAGGCCAAGCCATTTACGCAAGTCCTTCTGAGACTGTGGAACAGGCCAATCGACTATGGCTTTGACTTTGGCGGGATCCGCTCGTAGTCCCCGCTTCCCAATGAAGCACCCTAGAAAGGGAATTTCTTCGGCCCCGAA